CCCTTCTGAAGAGCAAAGTAAAAATTGCTAGGAGAATGGCAACATATGAGAAAAGCCTGGAATGCAGATCTGGTAATTGTGGGTATTAACTGATTCCCAGATGGATCCCCAATTCCTTATCACTTTTTTTTACTGAAGCAGAAGCCTTATGCATGCATGGATTTTAGTAGGAATTACTTCAAAATAAATTTAACACTGCAGTCGTATTACAAAGTTAAATTTCATGGAAGCTATTTTCCAAATAAAGGTGTTACTATGTGGGATCTCAAAAAAAAAAAAAAAAACCTCAATTTAAATTCATATTATGGCTTGACTGTTGGTAAACTGCATAGGCAATGAGATCTGTCTTCACACTCCTACTAGAAGTGGGTTTGAGAAGGTTCAAGCCTGTCCTAAAACCAGAAGACTCAGATTTAATTCCCTGAGGGTCACTGCAGTAAGAGCAATAGTCTTTTGCCGCTGTTGATCAATCCCATACCCTATTTAGCCTGGTAATAAGTCCCACTGAATTTTTGAGAAGACATATATAGGATTGCACTGTTCTTCTTGAAATCCTCTGGCATCGCCAACGTATTTCTGTTTAGCAAACAGATCCAAAATCCATTTGTGGAGAACTGCTAGGACTGAAGCTTATTTGGGTTGTGATGCAAGGGAGAGTAGCCTACTTTGCAAAGGGAGTTAATCTTGTCAGAGCGAGGTGTCCACTTTGCTCTTTAGGGTACATCCTTGGACCTGTGGCACTGACATTGGTCGGATGTACTTCCAACATATTCCTACCAAGTGTGCATAGATCCAGAAGATGACAGTGTCATCCTACAGAACACTAGTCCAACTTCTTTAAGCACCACATTATAGAAATTTATCTAGGATTTTTACCATTTAAACCATGATAATGACACATCTTTAGACAAAAAATAGTCCTGCAAAGCCCAGCATTCCCCAGCTAGACATGCCCCTTTAAAGTCTGCAGGACAGGGAAGTCTTAATCTGGGATCCTAAACGCAAGTGTTGGCACCAGGCAAGCCTCCCCTGGGAGAGCATGGCAGGGCACTGCCCAACTCTGTTGAACAAGTCCTATCTCTTGCTGCTTCCCTTTGAGCCTCAGAATGAGTTCAGTGGGGCTTTCTCCAAGGTAAGTCGGCAAAGTATTAGAACCCAAGTTAATAAACCATAATATTCTGTCAGAGAAGTAAGTGTCATTGAAATCAGTGGGAACAACTCAGAGGCAAAGTACTCTTGTTTGGGGAGCAGCATATAGGTAGATTCCTAGCTCTATGTTTGGGAATGGGCTCCTTGGAAGTGGGAGGCAAATGTCTAGATACATCCTGTTCAGCCTTGCTTCCCTGAGACCTCAAGCTGGACCCTGTAACAGTGATCTCCACCACAGAAGATGCACACTCTCTTTACTTGGCTGTGCAAATCCCACTGGACTCAGTGTGACTTAGTTCTAAGTAAACATCTTTAGACTTGGCTTTAGGGTCTGTCCAACCATATATGCAAGGTGAAGTGCTGGTCTCATAGTGTAAGAACATTTCACTGGAGATCAAGGCCAAGATCATCTACACTATTCCCAGTCACCATGTATCAGTGTAAAAGCTGAACAGTGAAGAAGATCTTATTAAAAGTTAATTCTGGTTGGTGCTTTCAGCCTTGCCTAGAGGACTACTCTCAGGAAGTTCTCATTGATTCACTTCATTCCATCCACATTTCAGTCCTAAACACATTTACATGTAAATGCAGCCCCATTTCAGATCAACCCATTTTACTGCCAAGGAAATGCAAAGTCTGCCTATTGCAGTCTCAAATCAAATACTTTGTCTAGAAAACCCAAAACAACTCAAAGTATTTTGATACGTATTGCTTTTAATGTTAAAAAAATAATACTTTAAACTTTCCTTGCCATAAAGCTTCAAATCTCTCATCCTCCAATTATTATTTTGCAGGGGAAATAGCCACTTCTGTCATTATCTCTCACCAGCAACTACAAGTTTTGTGGCCCCATCAATACATAATTATTTACTGCACAGTCCTATATATGTCTTCTTAGAATCCAGACTCCTTTTTATTAGATGTAGTTGGTGCAATGTGCTATAAACTACAACGAAGTTATACTACAAAGGCATTGTGTGTGTCTATTCAGAAATAACTCTCATTATGTTCAAGGGCTTGCTTCCTGTAAAGTGTTTAAAGATTTGCACCTAAATCTATAATTTCCAAAGTGGGTACTTTTTTCAAACGTGAGAGAATATGTGTACATCAAAATTAGGATATGCAAGAATATGCACATACCCTGGGCAAGGAAGGAAATGGTCGATTAATAACCATATAAGCCCTTGGAAGCAACAGGACATTGTCAGTCAGTGTCCCCAGTACTAGTAAAGAGGTAATTATTTTTAGCAGTACTCTTGTGCATCTAGGCTACATAAAACTCAGTGTAATTAGAGATTTCACCAGTAGCCCAATGTGCTCCAAAACAAGTAAATCCTTCTAGACTACCAGGATTTACAATCCAAGTCTAAAAACACTTATATCATTATGTTCAGTGAACTGCAATTTGAAATAACTAGTAAACTCTTCAAAACAGTTTTAATCAAATGACTCTGATTAATGATGCTTTTATCAAATGGGGCTTTTGTTGATGTTACCATTCCAAACAGTATTGGGGGGGGGGATGACTGAAAGTCCTTTTAAGTGAATTTAAAAAAAAAAAAAAACAGTAGTTTGTCAGTAACTTTATTTTAAAAAATGTAATGACAAACTGCAACCAAGACCAAAATACTTTATCCACTGTACAACATTTCATTATAAAACAAACATACATCACATATGTAATCTACAATATCTGAAAAAGTGTCATCTTGAAAATGAGAGCGTGCTTTTATGATTCATGCGTCAACATTTATTTTACAAGTGTTAATCAAATATTATTCTGTTATAAATAAGTTGAAATGGGGTATCTGTTCCGCTATCAGGATCATACATCCCCTCCATAGTGTGTGATCCTAAGCATGTTTACTCAGAAGTAAGCCCCACTGATTTCAATGAGATTGATCCAAATAACTGTACATAAGATTTCCACTTTACTAAAAAGCCAGTTGCTTAAATCCAATCCCAAAGTCAACCTGGTAGAATCCAACAGGACCCCTTCTAAGCAAACACAATAAAAAAACAGCCATAAAGGTGCAACCCTATTTAAGTTTAAACAGAAAAAAAGACTACAATTCCCAGCATGCCCCAAGCAGCTCTGCAGCCCTTCCTTTCTTTCTTAACTTAGATAGGATTATATCTTAAATGAATTTAAGATGGGGGAGGGAGAACTGAGGTTAATGATGCTTTTAATATTTGGACCCAATAAGAAGTGCAGATATTCCACTCAGATAACATTGGGCTCTATTAATACCTTGGGGCTGACAAGTACAAATAAGACAAAAAATACTTAGAAAAAAGTTCAAGTATTTTTCCTCCACTTGTCTTTTCTCTACAACCCAAAAAAAGGCACAGTTTCTTCTGGACAAAGTTTCTGTAGGAAAAAACACTAGGCTATAAAATGAATCACTGTTGCCTCTTGGTCACTGAGTAGGAAATGTAAACAGGAATGCATTTGTCCAGCAGGAACTGTATCATCTGTTTGAGCCTCACCCTAAATAAATCCAGTAATTACTTGGATTAAGATTCTTGTTAGCCTTGATATGAGTTCACTAATTTCACCCTATCCTCAATATGTTTGTTTAAAAGCCCACTACTTTGGGGTGCAATCCTATGGAGCTTAGGCAGAAAAAAGGCCTATGGTTCCCAGCATGGGATTAATATGCGTTTTTATATCTAAATTTGCATAGGATTGTACCTTAGAGATGCAGGAAGCTACCCTATACTGCATCAAACCATTGGTTCATTGAACCCAGTACAGTCAACACTGACTGGCAGCAGTTCTTTTAGGGTTTCAGGTGGCACTGAATCTGGGACTTTCTGCAAGCAAAGCAGGTGCTCCACCAGAGCTATAGCTCCTTTGCAAGCGAGGCCAGGATCTTAAACATAAATTCTCAATGGGTTGTATCCCATCTTAGTCCTACTTAGAGCAGACTCACCGAAAGGAATGGGACTTGTGTCAGAATAACATTAGATAAGTGTACTGGATACAAACCAATGCATCAGTCCTAAAGAAAACCTCACACATTAAGAATCAGGACTGGTCCAAACACCCTTAAACCATATTTTGAAAATAACTTTCAGTGAAACCACCAGTCTTACTGTCAAGTTCAAGCATTTTGCTTTAATGCAAGGACTGCACTACCTATTCCCTTGAGGAGGTAACTCCAATTGCCATCACTATTTTTTCTGAGGCAGTAGCTCTAAGCAGGGTACCTGGCAGGAGGTCCCACTGAAATCAGCAGGCCTGATAAGCTTCTGAGTAAACAAGATGAAAACTGTACCCAATTACTGGACTGGTTTTGAGGATCTCGGTAGGGAAACAAGTTTCTCCATAATCCCCAATAGTTTTACCATATAATCCGTAACATTATCCAGTGTTGTAAGCAATGGTGGAGGGAGAAGGAAATCATTCGCCAGAGGCACCTGAAAGACGGTGGAATACAGGTACGGAAGCCAAGGCTCTCCATGTGTACACGGAAGTAAGCTCCGCGCTGCTCAATGGGGCTTTGATGCCAAAACTGAAAGGAAAGCAAGCCCCATTGAAAAGAGGGGGGGCTTACTTCCTTGTAAACATGCACAGGTAAGCGTGTGTCCGTTTGGAAGGGCGGGGAACTCCTCATAATGTGAAATGTTTATAGGGGACGCATTAGAGAGAGCTAGGACGCAGCCAGAGCCGCAATAAAGCGAGACCTCGCCTTCGGAAAATTCGGTTTATGATCACGTGGATTATGCGAAAACTTGTCGTTTATTCAACAGAGCGCGGAACGCAGAGGGAAGCAGCAGCTTTGGCGAGAGCACGGTTTTCCCCTCCGCCACCAGTCTCTGTCCCACCGAAACGTCGCCGCTTCGGCTTACTGCTGCTCCTCGGCTCTGCAGCCGCCGCTGCTGCCCGTGTCCTGGTCGCTTTGATCGTCCGTGAAACAGACGTCGACGTCACTCTCGTTGTCCGTCTTTGGCTCCGGGAGCTCCTGGCGCGCGTAGCCGGCGGCGTCGGCGGCGGCGAGGGCGCCACCCCGGTCCTCCCCGCTGCTGCCGCCGCCGCCGCCGCCGCCTTTGGGCAGGCTCTGGCCCGGGTGCCGGGACTTGACGTGCCTCTCCAGGTCCCTGCGCCTGACCAGCACTTTGCCGCAGAACTCGCACCGATAGGGAGTGTTGCCTTCAGCGTGCAGGCGGATGTGCTTGTTGAGGTTGCTGGGGTCGCCGAAGGGCCGCAGGCAGACCTTGCATTTGAGCGGCTTGTAGCCGGTGTGAGTCCGCATGTGGATCTTCAGGCCGTACTTGCGCGAGTACAGCTTGCCGCAGTACAGGCACAGGTGGCCGGTCTTGGGCTTGCCACCGGCCGCACCCGCCGGGGCCGGCTGCAGACTCTCCAGGCGGCTGCGGCTCTTCTCGGCGGCCGCGATCTCCGACAGCTGCTGCGTGTGCATGGCGATCTCGCGGTCGATGCTGGCCAGCGAGCCGAGCTCGGCCGGGTTGAGCCCAGCCGCCGCCGCCGCCGCCGCCGCAGCTGCCGCGGCCGCCCCGCTGAAGTACGACACCGAGTCCGGGTACTTGAAGAGGTTGCCGAAGTGCAGCTTGAGCGGGTAGTAGGGGGCGCTGTAGAGCAGCTCGCCGTTGTAGACGGTGAAAGGCATGAACGGCGGCAGGTTACATTCCCCGGCGGCGGCGGCGGCGGCGTAGGGCTTGAGCCCTTCGAAGGGCGGCAGGGCGGAGAAGCGCTCCAGCCCGGCGGCGGCGCCGCTGCTGGCGAGCGGCGGGTAGCGGCCGGCGGGAGGCGAGAGGCTGGCGTGGAGGCCCCGCTCCACGTGCTTGAAGGCGGACGTCTCCTCGAAGTGCGAAAGCAGCGGGAAGCCGCGGACGCCCCCGGAGTAGGCCAGGCCCGCCGCTGCCGCCGCCGCTGCCGCCGCCGCCGCAGCCGAAGGGGGCGCTGCAGAGCCCGCGTGGCATTTGGCGTGGTGGTGGGGCGCGGGCCCGTGGTGCGTCTGCTGCGGCGGCTGCTGCTGGGGACTGTGGTTGTGGGAGCCGCTGCCCGCGCCCAGCGGCCCTTCGCTCCCGGGACGGCTGGGCTTGAGACTCCCCAGCAGCAGCTTGCTGAAGCCGCTGCCTTTGCCCTCTTCCCGGAAGGCAGGGCAGTCCGCCTGGCTCGCCTTCGCCAAGCCGGTGGGCTTGAAGGCCGACCTCGCCCCGGGGTAGAAAGAGAAGCCGTTGCTGCCGGCGGAGGCGCTGCCCAGCAGCCCCAGGAACTGTCCCGGGGCGCGCCCCGCGCCGACGCTCATGTCCAGGGCGCGCTCCTGCTCCTCCCTGGCCGCCTTGCGCCCGCCGGCGCCCGCCTTGGGCAAGGGCGGCGAGCCCAGAGACTCGCGCTTCACGCCCTCCCGGGCGCCGCCGGGGCAGCTGGACCTCAAGGGCGCCGGCGTGGCTGCGGGCTTCAGGGCCAGGCTGAACAGTTCCGCCGGCCTGCCATGCTCGGGCGGCCCCAGGAAGCCCCGGCCGTGGTTCAGCACGCAGTGGAAGTGGACGTGCGCCTTGAGGCTGTTGGGGTACTTGAAGGTTCGCCAGCAGTACCAGCAGATGTAGCGCTCCTCGCCTAGGCAAGAAACACAAACCAGGGCTGTTAATGGACAGCAACGCCAGTGCAGAAACAGGAAGGCGAGCCATCGCCTTCGACGGCTTGTGGGAAATTGTGCGGGGCTTGGGGCGTTCCTGGGTTTCGGAAGCCTCAGTCTGCCATTCGCTAAGCAAATCTGAAGGTGAGAAATCCTTCAGGACTGAATGCAGGACAAAGACCACGTGAACAATGGTAGCTAATGTCCCGAAGTCCTCACTTGGCCACCCACAGATGAAATGCAGTGTTGCACTTATTGTGAATATTGAACAAATAGGGCTTTGGAATCCTTGCAGCTAATTTCGGTCAGCAACTGAGGAGAATTGGATGACGTTTTGGTTTTGTTACGGAGCACAAAACTGAGGTGAGGCAGTGTGGCCTGTCTCCTGGTTTGGTGCTGCCAACTGTCAGTGTGAAGAACATTCATTTTACCCATAAGTGCTGTAGAGCAGGAGAAATCTACTTCATGGTCTTCTTATATTAATCTTTGTTTGACTTATGCATTCTTACAAACTTAGATCAGTCAGACCAAAGGAAGTCAGTTCACACATACCAGCTCTCAACCTCTCTACCGGTAAACACATAGACAGATTAACCCAGATTAAAGACATCACCATTACAAACTGACCTTTGACAGATTTGATTGGGACATCCAGTGCATTTCTGCCACCCGGAGCTGAAGTCCAAATATACCTGGAAGGCAGCTGTACTGCACCTTTCAGATAGGGCTGAAACACACTGTCACTATTTATTGTTCTTACTAGCTACTTGAATTCTGTAACTTGCTTGTTCACTCAATAAAGCTGGGAAAGGCTTGCACTTACATTTCTCTGTGAACAAAATTTGGACTCAAGGCCCAACACTAGGTCCTACCAGCTGTCAGGAATCAACATGATTACAGTCAGGAAAGTCATCATTCCAATTGGACCATCTATGGTCAGAGATACAAAATCAGGCCCAAAACTAATACTCTGACATAGTATCAGGGGCTCTTTTTCCTGCTATGTTAAATAGGGAAAGATAGTGATACCAGAGTGATAGAATGGAAGAGTTGGAAGCACCTCAGAAACTGTCTGGATATGTTCATAAATAATGAGAGCCACCTCTTAGATCTCCAGACATTTGGTTGAGTGGGGTCCATGAAATCAGCCCAGTCTCACTGATTTCAATGAGTCTACCTTATATATGACTAAATCTGGAAACAATGCTTATGACGCATAAGTAGGCTAGAAGCCAACCATGTGCAACCAATCATATGCAAATGATAGTGAATAGTTTAGGACCGTGTTCCAGGTGGGGCAGGCAATGTCAATTGACTTGGGTTTAAATCAGTTCAGTAGCAATGTAACTAAATCATCTTTAAATACCTCAGCTTAACTGGATTTTGATTGAGGACTAAGTTACTATTTTATTTCTTTACCACAAATAGCCACAACTCTCAGGGCAGTTTACAATAAATTTTTATCCCCTTCTTTCTCTAAAGCAGAATTGTAACTCTCATCACATAAGTTCTGTATTGCCTGAAATGCTGGAGTTTGCCTAATCATGGAAGCTAAGTAGGGTCTGGCCTGGCTGAAATCTGGATGAGTTACTTAAATGTTGTGAACTTCCCAGAGAGCTTCATCTATGAGCAGTACAGAAACGTGATAATAATTTCTCACCATGGAAATACTGGCTAGAGCTGATGGGAGTCACACTCCATCAACATCTGGAGGATCACCAATTCTCCATCCTTGCTCTAAGGAAAATCCAAAATCATGGCGGCTGCACACCTAGGAATGCTTTTCTGGAGTAAGGCCCATATAATCTTACATGGGACTTACTCCTGAGTAGAAACACAGGCTTTCACTAAATAAGCGGATCCTCATTGCCTGTTTTTGTTCTCTCTAGGGAAGTTGCAATAAAATGATTTTACTAACTTGTTGCAAGTCCATGTATTTACAAGCTTAGCATTATAAGAATGTTTGTGTCTTCATCCAGTAGTGCTGCTGGTCATTTTAGGCCTTAGACTTTTAGTCCCACTGAATTCAAAACGACTTGCTTCCTAGTCCTTCCTAGTGTGTTTATGACTACAGTTTAAAATGTTCCTGTCACATGTAATTGCTTTATGCCTGTACTTAAAGATTACTCTTTTATTCAATAGATGCCCCTCTCTATAACTGGTACCGTTAGGGAGTTTGGGGATGGATTTTTCCATTGTGTATGACTGAAGGGAGGGTAAGCATGTTACTGTGAAAAACCAAGCTAAAGGAAGAGTTGCCTGAAACCAGAAATTCAGGAGTGGGTATTGTATGTGAACCTTAAACTACTGGTGCTTTTTCCTGCTGAGTACTTTCCCTTTTAATGCTGATGCGTAAAAGCAGTTGAGCTGGGGAGAACAGCAAACCCGGAGCTGGGTAGCCTCTGGACTGCAGGAGGAGGCAAAGGGGAGCAGCTGTTGCTTTGCCTGTGTCCGGCAGCCCATCTGTTGACATTTGCAGAATAGGTAGCGTATGTCAGGGAGTTGACTCAACAAAACAAAGGCCAATCTAATGATCATGAGCTCCTCATTACCAGGGGAGACAATATCCTATATGTATGGGCCATATCTAATGCATCCATTCAAAAGGGGATGCCCCCTATGCACCCCCCCATCCTTAACCACTTAGCATTCCCTAAGGCAGAACAAACCAAAATGGCCTTTTATGTGCTTGTTACTTCATGCTGCTGTTTACAAGCTTTACTTCTTTTCTGTGCTTTGGACTGACCTCTGCTGAAAGGCAGAAAACAAACCTTGGACATGCGCTGTAACAGCAGTAATATCCAATGTTAGTCCTATGTAGAATAGATCCATAGGATAAATGAATGGGATTTAAATTAGTTATAGCTTAAGACTATTTCTGTAGATTTACTTAATGTAGAACTAACATTGATGATGATGATAGCCTTGCATTTATATCCTGGTTTTTCCCCTCTTGTGAGGAATCCATACTGGCTTACATAACTTTATTTTATCTTCACAACAAACCTGTGAGGTAGACTAGGCTGAGAGTGAGTGGTTGGCCCAAAGTACTCCAGAGAGTTTCATGGCCAAGTAGGGACTTGAACCTAGAATACTCCCACTAGAGTGAACCTGAGTGGTTTAAAATTAGCAATTGGTATTTCAGGCTATAAAGCATTCCTTAAAAGAGGCTTAAGCTACCTTGGAAGTCTTTCTGTCTTATCGGAAGCTGAAAGAGACATGTGAAAATCCCTTCCTGGGACAGATAAACAAAGGTGTTTGGTATTTCTTATATGTGTATCCAGAAGCCCAGGGAGGATAAAGTTTGTGAAGTCTATTTTAATCTCTAGAACCTCTCTAGGATGATCTGGAGGCTGAAATACCCTTTTTTGTAGAGCTATATGGTTAGCTTGCTTTTTCACCTGCATCTAGTAGTACTTAATGCTCTTCCCTTTTTCCTTTGGTTGAACAATTTTTCAGACTTTAACCCCTTCCAGTTTATATACCAATCAAGCATTGCTAATAAGTTTTGTAATCAGGAGCTGGCTAGCCCAGCAAAATTCCTGGTCACATCTTAAGTTGTCTAAAAGAAATTGTTGGGGACAGTGTTTGGTTGCTGCTCATTAATGAATCATCTTAGAATTAGAAGTTTCATGTTCTTGAAAATCAAGCCCATATGCAGGAAAGGGTGTCTAGGAAACATAAAAGGGATTGAAGAGATAGTATTTCCTTCTGATCAAAAGAGTAAACCAAACAGCCTTTTGTGAAGATGCTGAGTTCAAGAATCAGCAGCCAATGTGAATTCATTGGTGGAAAAATAAAATTCTAGTAGTCCTCCTCCTCCCAAGGTCTCCCTATGCTGTTGGGTTACAGTGCCCGTCACCCCTATCCATTTGCACAGAGACAAATGCAGACTAGAGACAATAGTAATCCAAAACTTCTGAAGGTGCAAGATTGGGACAGGTTGAGAGTTTTATCCAGTGTTAATCTAACTTAGATCCTATTTAATGCAAAGGTCTACCTAGACAGGACTAACACTGGATACAGCCCTGAGTTTAGTTGATTAATAAATGCATAGATCCCAAAGTATTGCTTTTCCTTCCTAAAGTTCTCTGGCTTCTTTCACACATGGCCCTTACTGGCATGTCAGTTTGCCCTTGAGGCCTTTCCTTGAGGGCGGGCAGGAGGGTGGGAGTATGAAGAGAAGGAGAGTGCCTCAACACTCTCCAGTCCCTTAGTGATTGTTCACTTGCAGCCAGCCTTCAGCAGGGTCAGTAATCCCATTACTTTGCCCTCAGAGAAGCAGGTAAGCCGGTTGCAAAAGCTAAATAGGCAGCTGCTAGAAACCTTCACAGACTAATAAGTCTGGATTGGGAAGTTTTCACAAATAGTAACAATCCTTAAGACCAGGCTCCCCCTGGCTGTACCCCGCTCCTCCTTTCTGCTACTAAGAGTCCAGCTTAGTCAATCTGGAACTAAATGGAGTGGATTGAACACTTTTATTAAACTAGGATTGACTAGTTTGATAATGCCATCCACTTTCCAAGCCAGGTGAGTTTTTTACAGTTTTTCTCAAAAGAAAACTGTAAAAAACATCTCTTGTGGGAGGTTGTTGTTTTAGTAGAAGAGACTACTTAGGAGAAGATCTACATTTTTATTCATTTCATATTTTAATTGTAAAAACTACCTTTGGTAGATACATCAAAAGGCAGCACTCAGTCCTTATTAATGTATTCCATTATATTATATTCCATTACATTTGTATCCCACCTCTTACAAGGGATTCAAGGCAGCTTACATAATCCTTCCCTGGCCCAAAATCATCCGGTGAACTTCATGGTTGAGTGGGAAGACTAGAACTCAGAACCCCTGTGTGCCAGTCTAACAGTCTAACTGCTATGCCACGCAGGCTGCCTTGAGTTTTAAAGCTTTTCTAACTGTCATGCCAAACACCTTTACTAGAGAGTGTGTTCTAATGAATGTAGTGGAACTCACTTCTGAG